CCCCCCCCCCCCACATCACATATCTTAAATCATTGTTCCATTACAGTACTCCCCTTTTCTTAACAAAAAATTCACTAGATTATACTAAATATTTTATCGCATTTTAAATTACATATTATTTCTAATTTTCTATGGTTATTTCTAAATACAAATATAGAAATGCAATCTTATGTACCTTTCTAGAATCCCCTTTTCAATAAAATTTATCCATTATCTCTAAAAAACTTTTGCTTCTTTACAACTTGCTCCCCACCATTAAGGCTTCTCATCCCTTCCTTTCTCCCTTGCTTCTTCTTCTCCTTGTCCTCTTTACCCCCTTGTCTCTCCACCTCCCTTTTATTCTGCTTTCCCCCTTTCTGTTGTTTCCTAACATAATGTCCCCTTTTCACCTTATTCTTCTCTTCTTGGGTTGCTTTTCCAGATCTTAAAGTCTTCTTTTCCTTTTTCTCTTTCTTTTTCCCTTTTCCGACCAAAGTTATTTGTTCATCAAAGATGGCTTCTTCTTTGTCCCCATCATCCTGTTGCTCATTCAGCTTTACATAAGTACAAACCGCCATTTCTAAAAATTGAAAGAGTGCCAAGGACATCTTTCCCTTCTTGCTTTTCTTTTTCATATTTTTGGTATACAAGTTTCAGTCCATCCACAAGTGATGCCATTGTGCAGAGAAAAAGTTTTCCCAAACAACCACCCGAGTGCTTTTAATCAGAAATAGTTCTCAGAAGTTCCAAAATCACCAAACAATCCAAACAGGCTGTTTCTTTTAAATACTTTCTCCTTCTTCACTTTCTCTTTCTGGGGTTAAAGTTTAGTCACAAAATTCCCTTTAAAATATCTCTTTTAGAAGTCTTATTGGTGTTTAGTAACTCTTTAAAAATCTAGGCAATCTTCTCCTTATTTTCAATTGCTCCAATTTTTCCCCCCTCTCCCTTCCCACTCACAGCCAAAAAGATTTTTTCCATCTGCTTTCACGTTAGGAAGGAGAGTGAAACGAAAGGAAAAAAAAACTTTCCCTTTTAGAATGTTCGCAGCTTGTAACTCTTACTAGGAACAATGTATCCTTAGCAGCCTTCAAGATTCAAGGCACTTTCTCTTGTCTTGTCCCAGTTGAAAGCAACTTTCATTACTCTTCCAGCTTTCTCCCTCCTGCACCTGCTTGTCCGGCTGTAGATTTCTTCGTGGCGGCCATTACTGACCGCCGCTCGTCCGTCTTGGGAAAAGGGGGTTTTGCCGGCTGGGGAGGGGGTCTGCGACGCCCCCAAACCCCTGTCCGGATACCCCCTGTCTTCAGCTGCCTCTACGGGGCAGCTATATCCCCCAGATCCAAACGGATCGGGGGAACCTTGATGGCGAACGCAGCAGGGATCGTGCAGTATCGCGAATCCCTGCCGCTGCCGAAACCTGCAAACCGGAAGATCCGAACATTTTTGTTTTTAAAGTCAAACCAATATACCAACCAAGCCAGAAACATTTTCACTCCATCATTTAAATCACTTTGATATCTATCAATCCCATTCTGCCCCAAACTGAAAGGAAGCAAAGCTACAGTAGTTTCACAATTCTTATTGCAAGACACAGTGAGGTTGTACGTTACATATTTATTTTCTGTGTTTTTACAAACTATGGCAAACATACGGAAAAAACCCTTCAACTTAACAGGCATAACATGATAAACAGCAGTCTTTCAAAACATGAAAACTAAGGACCGGCTGTTTTCTAGGCCGAGTATCCTTGTAATGGCAATGTTTTATTCAAAAGATGCAAGAGATACCTTTGATGGAAAACTATATCTAGTTTAGAATTGGAGTAATTTGATTTGTTTGCATATTCTGATAAATTAAGCATACTTTGTACAAATTCAGATTACCCTATTTCAAAATTTCTTCTCCAGGGGTTTTTTCTCACAGCATTCACCACAAAAGATGTCCTCAACCTCTCTATCCCTTTCTGTGATTGAGAGGGGAAGGACCTCATTTGTTTGGGAAAGATAGAAGGGAAATACTAGCTTTATTGGTAGTAGCTTCCCAGATCTTTTACAGAGAACTGTATACAAATTACCTTTCAATGTTGTTTCTCTAAAAGTAGGATAGATATTAAATGGTGCAACAGAGTAAATGTATATTTTCTATCTCTTACAAAGCAGATGCAAGATAATATTGAAGACCTCCAGTGTTCCTTGAATACTCAAAACACTGAGAATGCCTACAAAACAACAGTAGATGTTGGTGTGCTTGAAAATGTCAGGTTAAAAGCAGTATTAAATATTTCAGAGATCATCGTCTGTCACTGGGTTTTTAAAGAGATCCAGACCAAATGTAATTCCTCTCTGGATTTGGAGAACCGGTAAGCAAACAAACAAAACACATTAAAAATAAGAACAAAAAGCAATATTTGTTCCACTTCACATGAGCCTCCAGCAAAAGCTCAAATGAACAATTGCAATTTTTTGAGCACATGAATTTCCTTCTTAGTAATTCAAATTTTTAAAGATGCAAATAACTGGATGGTTGCTTGTCTCTTTTGAAGTAACATTACTTCCCAAAGTGCTCTTGCATCACTCCCTTTCACATATAGCTCTAATATTCAGAACTTAGCATTCATTCTTCTTAACTTTTCATGATATATTTGCTGTACCTGTCCTAACTCATTCTTACAGAGCAAAATTGAAGGCAGAGCACTATGCTTCATCAGTGAGTGAGAAGGAGGGAAGTGTCCCCAATTGCCTACTCAAGCAACTGACTCTCCCTTAATTCCTGTTAGATTGGGCAGAACTGAAGAACAGGAAAGCTTTGGATTCCCATGAACTCAAATCCTTGCCTAATCTGTCAATGCAACATTTCCCAGGTTTCATATACATGCACCTTTCCTTCTCTGACATCAAAGTTCCATGGCTGGAAGAAGGTTTCAGAAGCTTAATGGAAAAAATTGGAAGTCAAATTTCCTTCTCCAGAATTCAAGTGGGGAATTCCCACCCAATATTTATATGACTCTGGATGTTTTCCCAATTTATAAATACATAGTTGATTGGGAGCCATCTAGGGTTAGTTAGTAGATAGGTGCTATATAAATGTTATAAATAACCAGTAATTCCTTTTAACTATAAAGTTACGCCATTTAGCCTCTTGCTGTATTAAAAGTGATGTTGCTAGATAGGAATAGAGAGAATCAGATTTATTTTTCAGTTAGCTATGTTCACTGGTTGAACCTGGGTCAGTTGCTAGATAAAATGGAAAGGAAGGGAAGGGAGGGAGAAGTGGCAACTTCATTACTATTAGCTCTACCAATAGACCACAAATAAAATAAGAAACTTGAAATAAGGAATGCGGTATCCAAACTCTGACAAACCACCTGAAGTTATCTGCTAAAATTCGTAGAATTAAGTTCTAACCTGCATTTCCATTAAGTTCCATGTAGTTCCAGTTAGAACTACACTGCTTATGTCAGTCTACCAGTGTTTCTAAATGAAATATTATAGCTGCGTACTGAAGCTAAAAGCATGATCTCTTCCTCTTCTTGGAATGAGCAAAAAGCCACTATCGTTTGGAGCTGTAGAGATTTCAAGAACTTCCAGAGAAGCGTAATTAGTGAAGAACTGTCATTCTGGCTAACCTAATTCTGTAGGTGATTCATGAAATGGTTTTTCTGGTCCATATGCAAGGTTTTGTTTCCTTTTTGCTTGTTGTCATCTTGGCCTAGTTCTGCACCCTGAAGTTTTTTTCATAATTATTTCATAAAGGAAGTCTTGTTTTCTGTCTCAACAGGCATATCATTTCAGTGGAGTTCCCAAGAATCAAAGAAACCCAAGAGGGAAATCACACACTGTTAATTACAACTAAAACCAATAACTACACTATAGTATTTATGTTGTATATAAGGAGTAAGTATGACACATGGAGGTTTCATATCTTATTTTACAATTAGAACACCGCTTCAGTTAATATTTTAAGTGCAAACCTTAAAAAGTATTTAAAGCTATTTATTTAATACTACATACATTAAATAAAATGTGTCATAATTATGTTATTGCTTTTCCCTCTGGCGGTATTTTATCACTTTTCCAATTCTGAGCAAATACAATCCTAGCTGCTGTTAAGACATGAATAATCAAATATACTTTTTCTTTGCTATAACCTCCAGGTATCATTCCTAATAAAAATATTTCAGGTTTAAAATCTATGTGAAAAAATTTATCATTTTTTCCCACCATGTGAGGATTTTTGTCCAATATCTTTTTGCCTCTGTACAACATCTTAGTTTTCCCTTTATTTCAATCCTGCCACTTCTCCATATTCCTCTATCTTGTTTATCAATTTATTTAGCAACTGTTCATTGATAACTTTCAGAATGTATTGCAGCCAAATGTACTATCTTTATAGATATGAATATCCTTATTTTAGTTTTTTTTAAAATTATTATGCATTTTCCTATAAGAACTTGTTATATAACAGCCCTGGTGGCACAGTGGTTAGAATGCAGTACTGCAGGTTACTTCTGCTGACTGCCGGCTGATTGCAATTTGGCAGTTCGAATCTCACCAGGCTCAAGGTTGACTCAGCCTTCCATCCTTCTAAGGTTGGTAAAATGAGGACCCAAATTGTTGGGCGCAATATGCTGATTCTGTAAACCACTTAGAGAAGGCACAGTGAAGCAGTACATAAGTCTAACTACCATTGCTATTGCTATATAGTTACAGGTATATTCCTCCTTTAAAAAAATAGAATCCATACAACTAACCTTCTGAAAGGATGTCTGTGAACTGTCTCCCCTTTGAAAAGCTATCCAGTCCAAGGATCCTACCACAGGTGTTTCTTATTGTATAATCATCCTGCATAATTCATGAAATTTTACCACAAAATGTCTTTTTCTACTGTTTGTTCATATTTCCTTTCTTGAGGACAAAGGCAGACTTCAACAGTGACTTTGGACTACTAGCATTTAGATGCTATCGGCCTGAAAGCACTTCCAGGTCAAATTCAAATAAAATAAAATAAATACTGATCTTATAACAATAACAACAGCAACATGAAAAAGAGAATTTCCCTGGTGTTTTACAGATAATTATAGAGTAGGTCTTTGAACTCTTATTTAGGGTACAATATAGCAAGAGATTAATCGCAGTTTCAATACTCCCTTGTCCACAGGGACATAATCTTAGCTCATACGGGACTTTTCTATCAACTCTCCAAAACTGATGTGTGGAGAGCACTGAAGCATGTTAACATAAGTGCTCTTTGGCATTTAGAAACAGTTAACTGGTGTATCTCACTGGTTCGTAAAAGGAACTTGATTGCTTTTAAAATGTTCTTATAGTAGAATAGGTTGATCTTATTGGGTTTCCAGGTCTTTGATAGATTGATTAAATGCACTGAGTGCACACTCAGAACCCATGATTAGAACACCTCAATGGAAAAGCCAAGATACTGAAGTTTTTGTGAGATTGGTCTGTATCATATTGATTTGTAATTGTCCTCAATAAGAAAAGAACTCAAACCTTATGGGAAAGAAAAGTAATTTCAACCAATGTGCTAAAGTACAGGTTCATGTACCTGTTTTAATTTAAGATATTCCTGCCTCCCTCCTTAATAAAACATTTGGAACTCAAGGGCATACTGAAATATAGTCCTTAGAAATTTGGCTGGACTCTTTCAAGAGCAGTAAAGGAAGTTTAAGATCCTAACTATGCATCAAAAAGTATTTATGCACAAACCTGTCACTTGCTCATAGTCTTCTTTATAAAGATGGCATATATTATATTTCTATTTAATTACAATACATCTTGATCTACATATAAAGTACATCCCCTTTGGCATGGGGTGTATTACATGTCCTTTTTCTTGATAATACATAAATAGCTGCCAGATAAGGGTTGTTCTGACTAACATTCAAAGGAGAGATAATGGGTAGAAATGAAGAATTTTGAAAATGTTTTGGATGCTGTGCTCTTGAATGATTTATCCTTTTTTATTTATAATCCACCTTCTATTTTAGTTCCATTGTTGTGGGATATTTTTCTCCTCTGCTCCCTACTTCAAAGCTAGAGCAGTTTCAAACTTCTTAAGAAAAAGCTCTGAAATGCTTTGAGTTAATTCATGTTTTCCTAACGTTTAAAGAATCCAATTGACATGGCAGGGGTGCTGGGACACTTTTAAGCTTCCTGGAATAACAGGATTGACTGGCAATTCTCTAAATGAGCTGTGATCTGTCAACAAGAGTTTCTGATTCCCAATGGTTTTACCGCAACAGTGCCGAAAGCTACCATGCCACTTAAATTAGGCTGAGAACATGAAGGTAACCGAGAGTGATGCTGTTCTATGAGCAAACTCTGTACTGAAAACAAAAGAACAACTTGTTGTTCCTTAATTCTAAACATAGGTTTTCCCCACCGCACCCCTGTTTTGTACTTGACAAATTGGTAACTTGTGTAAAAATAGTAGCTCATGGAACCTTAATGTCTTCAAAGTCTTTAAAATGAGGCTATTTTTAAATAATTACCATTATTTTCTCTTTTAAAAAAGTATAGAGAGTCAGCTAATTGGGCAAGAAATTATATTTAAGAATATATTTAAGAATCGGGGAGCAAAAAGCTAATATTGAAGTTCTAGAGGAGTTGCCCACCTAAATGGCAATGTCAAGTTGACTTTGGTTGATTTCAAAAACCTAAACAAGTTTGGGCCTTGTTAGAATTGAAAATCACCAAAAAAAATCTCAGGACTGTAGGCTGGATTAGAAAATTGGGAGGGGGGAATGTAAAGCAATGTAAAGTACTTTTATATTGTCAAGGAAACTACAAGCTCATGAACTCAGTAAGAGTTGAGCTGAACTTGAGACTTTAGCTTTTGAATCAGAAATTATTGCTGCTCATTTTCTTTCCACAATAGTGTTGCTTTTTACACTATTCAGAAAAAAATATATAGGGTACACAAACTACTGATACCCGGAGCAGGTCTCCGTGCAGAAAATAACCATGAAAACCATACAATTTACTTTCAGTAATCAAACATGTGCTCTAAGGCTCCCTCAGATCTGTTGGAACAGCAACTTCCACAATTCCTGCCCAGCATAGCAGTTGGCCCTCTAATTCACCTGGGAGTGCAGTTTGAGGAAGTTTGCTGAAATAAGAATTAGGCTATAGTAACAACCTTACACAGTTCTGTTTTTGATAGAAATAATTGGACTAAATGTTCAACACCAAAGTTCAATTCCTCCCTCTACACACGCGTACTCAAATGATAAACTGAAATGTATGCCATTTTTTGCAACACGCCTAGGCACTTTGATTCATCTTTGAACAAGCTGGCAAATAAAGGAAACTACCCTGATAATTAGTTTTCAATGAATTTCATTTGGAAATCATGCCTTCTAGTTAAGAGTTTGGGATCAAAAGATAACATCACTCTCTCACTTATCTTGATTTTTTTCCTGATTGCAATGAAGCACTATAATTTTTTTATTTAAAAGCTTCCTGGCTTCTTTACTTACTCAGGAGGTTATTTAATAAAATATAGTTTATACTGTAGCCTATATACAGTATTCATATTTTATTAAATGTGTATTTGCATGACTAAACATAGCCAATTATCTTCATTCAGAAAAAGTGTCTATATTCCACCCCTAAGCATGGCCAATAATTATTTAGAAAACACCTAGCAGTGATGAAGAAATTAATGTTGAATACTAATTTCCCTAATGTTGTTATTTTTTAGCCAATATCAAATAAAGTTTGGTTATCATTTGAATTCACAGTTTTCAAATTTTTCATAGCGGTGCTAAATTTTGCTTTTTATTAAAAAAAAGGTATATTGTGCTGGTTTGCATAATAAAGGTTCATGAAAATAATGCACAAAAATGCATTATTTTAGTGGGAATGGTTTACAAAAACAATATAGATTAGGCAAATTGAACTGTAAGTACACATATTAAAAGACCTATCTGTACCCACATATCAGAAGATATCTCTGTACACCAAAACAGGTACATGCTAAATGCAAATTGAGTGGGGGGAAAATCTTAAGTTTAATAAATGAACTTGACAGTTTCAAAGAAATGACAGCAGAACCAAAATAAATAAACACACACACACACACACACACACACACAAACACACACATGCATTAGGAATGGTAAAATAAGAAAAGGTAGGATCAAGAATTAATGGATGCTGAATGAATATCAACTAAATGGAGGAGCAAGAATCTAGCATAAAAGAAATATATGGTGGTTTGAGAGAGAATAAACGGTGGTAGAGAGAATAAATTAGATTTGAATCACAAAACAATATACACAAAAGGGGAAGCCCCAGAAAGTCATGGTTGGATGGAACTGATGAGATCCACAAAAAAATGAAAGTTGAGAAGTTGAAGTAACAAAAGGCAATTTATGAAGAAGTATATAGACATGATGGAAGCAAAGATAGCAATAGCACTTAAACTTATGTACTGTTCATAGTCTTTTACAGCACTCTGAGTGGTTTACCCTCAAATATTGCCCCCAACAATCTGGGGCCTCAGAAGGATGGAAGGCTGAGTCAGTCTTGAGTCAGTCAGGATCGAACTTCAGAGTGTGGGCAGAGTTAGCCTACCACACTATTTTTAGAATTGAATTATTGCATTCTAACCACTGCGCCACGATGACTTCTAGATGTTTTACAAAGATAGAAAAACATTGAGAAGCAACCAAGAGAATTGGTCACTAGACTGAGATGAGCAGCTATACAAATTGGGTGGGTGGGTGGGTGGATAGATAGATGGGAGGGCTCGAGCTTTCATATGAGAAATGAATGCAATAATTGTCGTTGTTTAGCTTAGAGATTGCAAGGAGGTATGAGTAAGGTTTATAAAATTGCACATAGCAAAGAAAGAAAAAATAGAGAACTAAAGGTCATCCAATTAAAATAATAAAAGATTTAAAATTGATACCAGGAAGTATTTCTTTACACGGTTTGTAATCAACCTACCTTGCAACAAGATAAGGTACCAGTTACTAATTTACATCTATCAATGGGCTAGTCTTGATGACTGAGCATAACAATGGGAAAGGAGAGCTTCCTTGAGCATTATTTGTAGGGTTTCCTAGATGGGTACTGGCTAAATGAATTTAGGGCTCACCCAGCAGTCTTTTTCCATGTTCTTAAGTGCTTTACAGTTTCAGTGGCACTTCTGCTCTGCTATAAACAATATGCAAATATCTATATAAGGTGGATACTACAGGAAATTGAGTAATGTAGTGGACATCCTGACACTGACATAATTAAGCAGCCAATTAGTTTTATCATTTTAGTCCAAGCTCTACCTATCAGAATTTCTGTTGAGTAGTATAATCTACATTGCTTTGGACTTTAACTTGTTTCCCTGCTCTGGACTTTTATATAGCCAGCATAAATCTTCTTTATTCCCTCCCTTGTACTAGTGGAATATGCTATTGTTTTGTGCTTGCTTCTGCCAACACAATTGTAAATTCAGCTCAGTTCTTCCATACTTCACACATAGGATTAACTTTTTACTTTTAACTAATTTCTAAAAACAAACAAACAACATCCCTCAATCCAAGTATATAATCCATATTTACTCAATTAAAAATGATTACCAAAATAAATTAGAGATTGTAGTCATTTCATTGTGCCAAGTGAGTTCTGCTAACAAATGCAGATTAAGAAAAACAAGCCACAATTTTGGAACAATTGAAACCACAAGCTGCATCAGATCATAATGAAAAATCTGTATTCATTTTAAGTCAAACAATCTGGAGTGCCTAGAAAAACAGTAAAAAATGGCTTTTCAAATGATTTTTGAACCAAACACAACATTTTATCCATTGATTTGTGAGCAATTTGAGGCTATTCTGATCTTTCCTCATTTCTATTATCCATGCCTTAAGAAAGGTATGGGAGGGAGGGTATTGTGAAAAATTACTGCAGTAAAACCCATAAAAATAACCAGCTAAATTGTGGCAGGATTAATGTTCTATATAGGTCTTTTATTTTTGCTAATTGTGTTACATCCTGTCAAAAATAAAAATACTACGGACATTTATGGTCTAACTGGCAAACATTTTATTCAAATCAAATCTCAAAGTGACTAAATCAAATCCAGTAAAAGATTGCAAACTCAAATCGAATCATGCCGTTTCAATCTATGGTTTTAGTCAAGTCAGGGTTGGTTTCTTTAGCCCTAATGAATAATAAATTATTCACATGTCTAATTTTTAATGTTCTTCTATGGTTATATAGACTACTTTTTTGTGTGGGGGAAACATAGTAATTTCATTATGTATATAGCAGAGACAAAATCTTTGCATATTTTTGTAATAACAACATAAAAAATAACTCAGATTCATGTACAAAATACATACATAAAAGCACTAAAAAAGCACTATACACATCTTTTTCAATAGGAAGCCCAGAAAAGCCATATTTTATAAAACATGGAGATGAAAGTGTGAGATGCATATCAGAAGGACATCCTACACCAGTTCTTAAATGGTTCCCTTGCCAGGTTCCTGATGACAAGTATGTGGCTCTAAACTATTGTCTTTTTTTCTTGTTCTTTTCTGGGACTCTCAATTTTTGCATTATTTATGTATATTTGGGCATCTTCCCACTGAGAGAAGACCCAGTTGAACTGGGTTGAACTGTGGCGTCCTTGGTGCTCTCTGAGCGTGGTTTGCTTGCAGACGCTTCTTTATCCTACTAGGTTACATCATCAATACTAAAGTGGAATGGGATTTGCTTTCCATTTATATATAAGTGGCTTGTTCTGTCAGTGTTGGCATGGTTGTTCCTGGTGGTTCCTTTATTAGGCTGTTATTTAATGTTTGTCTGATATAGTTCCTTGACTGAGATATTTTTGTAAAAGAAAATGTCATGTAGTGAATTGACAGAATGCTATGGCAAATGCCTATGAATTTATTTATATGGAATTTATTTATTTCTGATAACTTCCATAAACCATTGAAATTGCAAAATGATCTTCCTGCCCTAACATTTTTTGCTATGTGTAATGGCTATGAGAGCAGTAGGCAATATCACTCCTTTAGCAAAAACCTCAATGCTTCTAGAGTGTAAGAAACCTAGGAATTAAGTTTCAGAAAATATTTGAACCAACTTTCCCTAGTTGGTTCAAACATTGGCTATACATTTAAATGCCCAGACAACACCTGCTTTAGAGTTTGTGTGGCTCAGCCTAGATTACAGGAATTTGTAGATGTTCTGAGCTGCCAATTAACCTATCAAACAACTAAGAGTCTTTAGTGGTCAAATAAGGATTGATATAGTGGACTGAGATCTTCGTATATGAGTCCCTTGATGATGTTCATTCAGTTTATATTAAACTTACCAGTATTATGCAGTTATCACAATCTCATCTACTGTACCTCATTGTAACTGTGGGTATCTTGAAACACAGCTACAGCTATTCAATGATGAAGCATAATTCCTAATTTAAATAGTCACTATTCAGGTAAGCGTCTTCCCCATTTCTAAATGAAGATAAATTAATTAATCGTTATTTAGGAAGCAACATAAAGTTCTATCCCTGTTACCTGTAAAGAATAGAATATCATTACTTGCACTGCTATATTTTTGCTACACTAAAAAGTTATGAAAAGGATTATCATTTAAATCAGTATTACTATCATCAACTTTTATATTCAACCATTGCTATTTTGATTTATAGGTGCAAATTTGTTTTTGATGACCTGATGGAAATGCAGAAAGCACAACTGTTCTTAAGAAAAGACAACTTGTCATTTGAACCACATGTATCGTGCTGTGCAACTAATAACGTGAGCAAAGTATGCACAGAGCTTTATACAATAGGTAATACTCAAGTACAAACTGACTCTGCCTTAGGATATATTGTTCCCTAATTTATGTTAACTGTGCCATTGGATTCCTAACGTCAAGAATATACTTCAGCATAGAAAGAACTACTCATGGGCATATAAGCAGAGGATTGCCCTTACTATTTCACTCCATAAATAATTTTAAAGGTTTCCCCCCCCGCCCCCCCAATATTTGAAGCTATAACTGGATTGGAAGCATAAACCACCCAAAACCACTGGGAGTCAGAATATAAATTTATATTATTATTATGGATAGTCCCAAAATCATCTAGATGTTTAGACTGGATTTATTATTACATATGGGGAAAACTGGTAAGTGTGATTGGTTGCTTTAGTTTAGGTTAAGTATATAATCAGATTCAAATGCACAATCTCAAACATGAGCTACAAATCTTAATACTAGTGCAATTTAACTCTGACTTTAACTCTAACTCTTCTGTTGGAAGTAAATAACACTGAGCATAGAGTAAGTAACATTTGTATATATGTTATCAGTATGTATTAGACGGGAATTTGTGCAAAATGTTATAATTCATTTTTTAAATGTTCTAATATACATCTGTATAAACCGGGGAAATAATTTTAAGGTTTTGGTAAATTGATTTGGGGGAGGGGCTTGGTATGCTGGCTGGAGAATTCTGGAAGTCCATAAGTTTTAATGTTGACCAGATTGGACACCCCTCATCTAAACTCAGGGCCACAAATACATCCTTAGATTTTAAATCATAGGCTGGCAGTTTATCAAGAAGGGATTGGACTGCCATTTGTCAGAAATGGTATAGGGTCTCCCGCTTGGGCGGGGGGTTGGACTAGATTACCTATAAGGTCCCTTCCAACTCTGATTATCTGTTTGTCATCTTTATCACTATTTACGAGTCACATGGAACATCCAGGTTACCTCTGGCATCTCCTAACCCACCAATTTCACATTGCAAGAATTGTAATGTCTCTCCCTAGAAAAATAAACCTCTCTTGCATTATTTAATAGTAGAAGTTATAAAAGATTTCAGCATGTTGGTTTTTGATGTTTGATCAAAATACAGATCTGAATAGAAAATCAGAAAGCCCTGTGCAGGAACTATTTCTCAGAGTTCGAGATCCACTGATCTTAAGATGCAGATCCAAGTATAACACTTCTCAGTTTGGAAATAAATGGCATTTTGGAAACAAGCAATTAGAAAAGGTAATGAAATGGTCCTTTTCTTGTGATAGTTACTACTAACATAATTCAGCTGGTTATATTAAATATTAACTGAAATATTTAAATAAAACGTATGATTTTAACGTATTTCATTTCTCATACTTTCCAATTCAAATAAGAACAGTTACCACATTCAATTTATTATGAAACATACTAACCATTCTCTTTACAATAAGGTTTGAGTTGTTCAGTATTCTTAACTTAATAGATTTCTTTCAATAGCCTCGTTTCTTACATTACATTGGAGTCAGGGGTGGGCTGCTCGGGGTTCGCAGGGGTTCCTTTAGCTAAGATTCTGCACAGTTCAGAAAACCTCGAAATCCCACTTCTGGATGGCCCCATCCACCCTACCCCGCCCCTCCCAGGAATCCCCATGTCCCCAGCGGCCTGTTTTGGATGCAGGTAAGTGCAGGGCACACGTGGAGGCTCAGGGAAGGCGAAAAACGGGATTTACAGAAATTCAGGAAGGTCAGAAATGGGCCCATTTCCGGCCTTCCAGAGAGCCTCCGGAGCCCGAGGAGGGTGTTCCACCCTCCTGGAGGCTCAAGAAAGCCTCTGGAGCCCAGGGAGGGCAAAAACAACCCCCCCCATCATGATGCAGGAGGCCGACTAGGCCACGCCCACCATGGCCACGTCCACCCAGCAACAGGGCAGAGAACCCATTGCTAAAAATTTTGAAGCCCACCTCTGATTGGAGTTGTTCGCAAAGGCTAATTCCCTTCCTAACGTATAATGTTAAACTGTTCCTTTGTTTGTTTGGTTTGAGAGTTTGCTCTCGGTTTGACATTTCACTTCTCATCCAAGAAGCTTTTCAGCTCTGATTGGGTGGTGGGGAATGGGAGGATCTAGTCAGAGCTCAAGAATCTTCTTGGACAAGAAGCGAAACATATTCAAAGAAAAACAATAGTTGCCTCTGGAAAAAGCACCTTTGGGACAACCATGACCTGGATGACTGACAATCTCCATACACATCCACCGCTAACATATCCCCCAATGTAAAACTTTATATAGGTGCACTATGAATAAAAGCTATTAGCTCTTACATTCTAATATTTATTTAAACATTTAGACTATGACGCTAGAAGGAAGATGGAAAATGGGTTCAACTTGGGTTAAGACTCTGTATGCATTTATGTCATCCGTGGAACACCATAATGATGGTAATTATACTTGTTCTTCTGAAGAAATTGCTGCCAAGAAAACGGCTGTAGTTAGAATTTTAGGTAAGACATATTTATTTACGCTGTTATATGTAGTAGAGGTAATTTATAAGAGAAAATATATGTTTTTTTCTATAAAATGTTGAAAATGAAGCTAAACACATGTCGTTCTCCCCCCCCCCCCCCCCCCCCAAAAAACCCTATATCTCATCTCAGTGATTGTGGCCAATTTGTCTCTCTCTCTCTCTTCCCTCACCCCCTCTCTTTTTATTATTGGAGTGGAGGATTATTCGCCAGTTAAGGTGCTCTGAGTCTGCGCAAAGGAACAAGAACTGTTTTCCTTGTTTTTCCATCAGAAATTGGCAACTGAAAAATTGATTTTGTGATTACTTATGGTTCATGGCTTACCCCTCATACTTTCTAATTGAAATTTAAGAGACTTAGAACATTCTACTTTAGACAACTCTCCATTCTTTTCTAGGCTTATCATATAATCACATGGTTGATTTAATTTCAACTGTAATAGGGGTTTGAACTAATAATTGTCATTATTATTGATGCAAACGAATATTTGGTTTTGCTAAAAGAGGAGGAAAAATAAGCAATCAAGTGTGCAAGGTATTTTCAGTATCATCTCTGTCTGGCCGGCGTGATATCAGTAGGAAATTAGAAATCAAATGTAAATAAGTGTATATCAGGGATGCAAAACAATTGCATTGCTTTTATTTTGAAGGCAACTTTTTTTAAAATTTACATATGTGAGTCCGTGGGGTTCCTATATATTTTCATAGCCCCAGTTTTTCACATGGCTCCTTGGGAAAATTAATTGTCCACCCTGGTATAGGAGAATCAAAATTTTACTATACTGGAGTTGTTTGACTTATATTACATTATTATGCATATAATTGTCCAGCCACTTTTTATCTATTTTCTTCTGCACAGAAAGAAAATGCTTTTTGCAAAAACATAACCTTTGATAGGTTAGATGGAGCTACTGATCAAAAGTCAAAACAATTTAAATATGTTATGTTCTGACTGCAAGGCTTATTAACTCTGTTAATTTCAAAAGTTTGTATTCAGAAGATATTATCTGTAAAGACAACATGACCAATAAAGGTGACCATGTTCATTGGATGATTATGAAAACCATAGTTCGACATCATCTTTATTGGAGAAAGTTAGCTAAATGATTCTAAGGAAGAAATTACAACTAAAGACTATTAGCTGAGAGTCAAATAGAACTATCCCCTGCCTCTCCGTTTCCAAGGAATATACAGTATAACAAGGGAATGTTATCACATTAAAGATCAGTCTCTAGTCTTCCTAAGCAAATTCAGCTGCCACTACTACTTGTAAACATATAGCTGAACTATAAAAAAACACAATCTAGGAGGGCCTACAATGTATTCTCATATTTGTGCCACTGTCAGGATGAAAGTCTGCCATCCATTCATTCTGTAGTCATTTAATTGCTGTAGAGTAGACCGAGGAATACCAAAGGCGTTTGTGTTCAAATCCTTCAAATAGATACTGAATTCTGCCAAATAATGTTGATCTATCATTTAACAGACAAAGGGTTTATCAATATAACCAATGCAAAGGAAGATTTTGAAGTTGGCACAGAAGGAAATACTTGCCTTGAAGTTAAACTTAAAGCCTATCCACCAATTCGATGCATTTGGATATTTTCCCAAATGTCATTTCCATGTCAGCAAACTTACACAGACACTTACAGGTAATTCACTTCCTTTATTTTTCTGCTGTGCGCTTTGGCGCATTTTCTCCACTTCTGATAAGATGCTTAAAACTATGCTATTTATTTGTTGTATATGTTTTTTTTTATTTTTTGTATGCCACAATCTATTGTTTCTCCAATTAAATTAAAAGTTCATGATAGAGAACTTTAATGTAGCTCACCCTATGAGTGCCTTGTCAAATCAGGGGCTGTGTAACATTTTTTTTCCAGAATGCAGCAACGAGATTTGAATACATCACACTGTAATTCAGCATGTTGAAGTTGCACAGATTTTTGTGTAAAATTTTTAAGTATCGATCTGATTTGAAGGTGCTTCCCTTTGGTTGAACATCAGGCTATCTTTAAAACTGAGGTATAGAATAGGTGTTACTAAGGGATACCAGGACAGAGAAAGCTGCAGAAAAGATCATTTGTGTGTCTTCAAGTTATTTTCATTTTCATTTCTTTGTTCTGCATGTTCCCTCTTCTCTTCTGGCATTAGTTAATTAATTATCTTGTCTTTCCTTCTATCAGGTAGTAATGAGGACCAGCAAGGCAATATTTTGGTGAACTTTTTAAAGCCCATAGCTCTGAATGAGGGGGTCTGAGTGATGCAGGAGTTTGCACTGATGGTACAGCAGCAGCAACACTATTAATGATAGGCCAACTATGGAGCTGTTTGGTCCTGTCATGTGCTGAAGTACTTAAGACTTTGAGGGTGAGGGGTTGTTACTGTACTTTTAACTTCTACACAATGAATGTTGCATGTGATTTTGGAACATCCAATTATTGCTTTTTTTAAAATTAAGATAGCAAGTTGAATACTACAAGGTGCTAGTTTAGTGTCTTGGCTTCTATGACTCTGCAAACATTAAAGTCGAAAAATAAATGTTTCCTTTCCCCCCTTCAGCTTTTTTCAAACATAAGGAGGAAGCTGGTAGGTCTGTGTGCAACAGACCTTGAAAGTACATGGTGGCCCCAATGCAGCTTTGTGGATTCCTCTACCCTGAAAGCATTTTGTTTATTTAAAGAACTATTTCAGAGCACTTTTTACTTAAGACTGACTAATTTCTCATCTCCTCAGCCTTCTTTTTTGATTTGGTTACCATGTACAGTACATTTTTTTTTCTGATGTGATTATCCTTACATTTATTTTGATCCATACTATGGATGCCCATCCCAGAGCCTATCATTTATTCCAAAGAACTCTTAAGAAGATTCTCCTAAATCAGAGCTGATATTTAATTTCCTGCAGTTTCTACGTTAGTTTTAATCCTGCGCTCTAAAGCAAAAGAGATTAAGTCACACTCCTAACACAGAATTGGATGGAACTATGTTCTTCTTTTATGGCTCATTAGTATGATTACTAATAATAGTTTCCTTTTTTTGTCCCTCTCAAAAAAAAATTGAATCTGTCTCTATTTTTTTTTTGTCTTATTTTCTTGAGGATAGGTGTCAAATATGTATTATTTTTTTACTCTTTTCCTGCAGAACAGAGGAGACACAACAAAGCAGGGATCAGACCTGCTATTTTTCTGTTCAAAATTAGCAGCAATTTCCAGGGGATAAAAGACAGCAATGACTTCTTATCATGCTAAAAAGAAACTAAGAAACTGGAGAGTAGAAGCGACTTTAGCAAATTTATAGTAAAAAAAACAAAAAGTTGAAAAGCCCATCCCAGAAAAATGTGAACAAATGTTCTCATTCTTTGCTCACATGAAAAGAGGAGCAAGGTTTGGCAAACAATGCATAATACAGTGAGAAGGATTTCTATATTTGAAAATAAATAAATAAATTCCTCGCAGAATTTTTTTTTTCTCTTTTCTCTTTTAGTATTTTGATTCTACTCCGCCTACTACTTCCTCTAAGGTTTTCCACAAAGCATTCTTGGTACCTTTTGGTTTTCTGTTCCTTCTTTATTTGCTTTCACTTCTTCAATCAAGCATAAAGTAAAACTTATTGATTTTGATACAACAAATCTTCCTTTATTTTTCAACAGAAGTTGGTTTAATTTTCCAGATTGAATCAGTCTTATGAAACTGAAATCTATGCATAACTAATTTTGTTTTTGTTTTCTACTTACAATATTGTAAATAAACTCAGAAGGTTTTTTTTAAGCTATTCTGCTGAAGGCTAAGAGAAGTTGGATAAACACATTTCTATGACCACCATGGAGAAATGTGCACTTTTTTTGTGTGCAGCTCACCTGTTTCTTTGTACTAAAGAAAAATGGAGAATTGTGTCCCTCACTCACCTGCAAGCATTTCTGGCTTTCTATGGCTACCAAACATGCAGCAATAAAAAGCCAATTAATGTGTGCAATTTTGCCTTCAGAGATGGGGCTTGTAAAAAATGTTCTAGTCCTTTTTTAAAAAAATTGATCTTATATATCCCATATCACGCATACTATACCTTGATTCTTAAGAAAAATGTCTTTAAGGAAAAAAACACATTTGGTGGAAACATAGTTATTTATTATTTGCTTATTTCCTCTTATAATTGTTAAGAAAGCTTCTGGACCCATAGATTTAGCCCTCTGCTTAAATATTGGTGGATTCCAAGAATATCCTTCTGTGGATTTCTGTTCAGTACCACTGAAATCCCACCAACATGTATTTTGATGAAACTTTAGCTGTTGTTTCAATACATTCATCATCTATAATTTAATTAAATCTTACACCTGAAAAGGTCAGGACTAAAACAAACAAACAAAAATTGATGATTCCTCCAATGTGTGCGGCTATTATTATTATTATTATTATTATTATTATTATTATTATTATTATTATTATTATTATTATTATTATTTCCTTGTCATCAGTCATGATCAGAGGTTCCTTAAGGGGTGAGACACTACAGATACTCCTTTTCTTTCAAAACTGCTAATCTGCAAGTAGCCCTTCCTTGCTGAGAATCCCATTGCATTTATGCTCTTTCTTTTCACCCCACAAGGAATGTTAAAAACCATCTGGACTCTTTTCTAGCAACAGTGGAAACCAGCCTTTGCTGTGGGAACTGAAAGAGCTACCACTGTGCTAGCATAATAACATCTTGTTCCTGTCTCTCCTGTTTGTTTTCTGGCTGCTGGGTGTTTTCTAATATGAACAACAGCAGGATAAGGCTGTGTGAATTGTCCTTTGCAGCAAGTCTTAATGGCAAGATGTAATATTGTGATTCTAAAACTGTTCCAGTGATGCTGTAAATCAGTGATCCCCAACCTTTTTTACACCGCGGCCCGGTATCCCCAACCTTTTTTATGGCGCGGCCCGGTACCGACATCAGCTGGGCGCCGCCATCTTGTTTTGATGAAAAAGTGCTTCCAGTGAGCTTTTTACCCGGAAAAGCTCACCGGAAGCACTTTTTCATCAAAACAAGATGGCGGCGCCCAGCAAGCCAGCGGCCCGGTAGGACTTGTTCCACGGACCGGTACCGGTCCGCAGACCGGTGGTTGGGGACCCCTGCTGTAAATAACTAATAAAGACTCCAAGATCAGTGATTGTTTGGTGTGTATACCTTAGCCTGTGTGACTATCTTGATGCCTGACAGGGAAAGTGAAGGAAGGAGTCCAACTCATATATTTCCAGCTGTCAATAAATTGATTCTGAGTCTTCTGCCTGCCCCATCTTTATTTCCTTTGAACTACTTGTCATGCCCAAGCAGTAGTAAATTTGAGTCCATGTGAAAGAGAAAATGCAAGCTCTTTCACTCTGTTCATTTACCTGTATTATGCAGGGCTAGATGGCTGGTGCAGACTAAATGCACCTCTTTTTGTAATCTTGTTTTTGCAAAATAGGAGGTAAGAAGTTTGTTTTTTTCTGTTAAGGAAGTTTCATTACTTCCCTTGAAATCTTTAGTTGCTGCATGCCACCACAGGATGGTCAAAGTCAAATATAGGTAGAAATGTGGTTGTATCTTTATTTAGCATACTAAATGAGTGACCACAAAACCAGCAAAAATGGATCCAGGCATTTTCTGTTCTTTGCAATTTGTATAAGCTTTGTAGTTCATGGAGTAATTATGGAGCATTAACTATGGAGCATAAATGAAGAAAAGAAAACAAAGTTTGAAGATTCAGACTGAAACACCTGGAAGACTTCATTTGACCCAAGATTTGAAAGTTTTTGACCTCTACTATGTTAAAACTCAGTTTATTCTGATAGTGGTGCTATAGATTCTTACCTATTCGCCCCTCCCACCAGATCAAAGCTGGACATGAAAGCTGTCCTTGATAGATACAAATCTTAACTTTTTTGTGTTATTACAGTTTTTAAAAGATTAGAAATGGGGCTATGTCATCTATCTATCTGTCTATCTATGTACCTATCTATCTAGCTGCATACCTATCTAATTATCTATCCACCCTGTTCTTAGTTTATATAAATGACTGGATTATTGATTGGAAATTTGTAGAGCCAGTGCTGATGAAGTAGGATTAGAGAGTCTCAGCTCCTAGTCTTAGCTAGAGAAGTTGATCTGGTAGGCTTGGGCCAGTCATCCCCTACACCTCACACCAGAAAGTTTAAAAAACAACTATCTACCAATCAGCACTTCAGCAGTATGCTAGACTATATGGTCCACTACCTTTAGTGGAGAGAATTTCATCCTGAAAAAGAGGAAGAAGAGTGTTTGGAAAACCTTTTTCTGGCCTCATAATAGAAGGGAATATTAGTAAACTTCAAATCCACAAAATCCATCTGTGCCCTGCTTCAGATCAAATCATCAGAACTGAGGGGTTGGGAGGTTTCTGTAGAGTAAACAAATTACTTTTTTGTATTATATATGGTTTTGGAGGAAAGGTTAAGTACATGACCAGATGCAAATGTAATATTGTATGTGGTTGATTTCCTAAAAGTCTGGCTGGCTGGTCCATCTGTAGAGTTTAGGAAACTCCCTTTCCTTATTGCAATATAGAGGAAAAGAAAATAATTGTTCCCATGAATTATTTCCATAGTTTCAGATGCCATAGTGAAGGTTCTGCTTCTCAAACCTTCGTAGGAGAACAACATTACTTGGTTGTAATGTTGTTTGGTGGTTTTTATTCTTTGAGAGCAACCTGGGTAGCTTAAAAACTCACCATAGAGCCTTTCAGTAAAGACTACACCTGAATGTACACTTGAATGATCCTTCCTTCCTTTATGAAACAGCATCTCTGCAAGCCTCTGTGATCATAAAAACCAATCTGGCGAATATTTGTTCTACGCAGAAAATAGTGATGCGTTTGTAAAGAGGACATTAAGACTCTATGTGAAGAGTGAGTATGTTTTAAGAAACAAGATCAATCAATGTTCAGTACCATGCTGTATTTATTAACAAGTTTAATTTTTACCCATCTTTTCCACTGAATCATAAACTTCTCCAGCTTGTCACCCTTAAAAATGTGTTGGGACTAAGTAGGAAATGAACGAAGTCCTGTTCATAATGAAAACAATGTTAAAAATAGTACAAGTATCACCTCAGTTAAATCAATCAAAACAATAAGTTAAAACCAGGAGCAGTGTACTCGCATTAATAAAATATCTGCCTAAATTAACAAAAAAGTCTCTTTCAGCCAGCTAAAGTTATATAGACAAATCAGTCTACTCGACCTCACTTATTCTTATGCACTTCTTCCAGTTCTGTCTTATCAGTGTGTGAAAGTCCACTTTACTCAATAAAGCCATTATTTTAAGTTAGTTTTGTACTTGAAATAGTTAACCATATCTAAATGATGTCTTTAATTGACTGAACATTTTCATACAGGGATGTAAATGTAGCATTCAAAGGACATGGAAATTTCAAAGCCCTTCTTCTGGCAGGGAAGGGTTATGGTTTGATGGTTAAACAGCCTGCTGCTAGGCAGGCATATGCAAGATTGAAAGCATTTCCAAACTGGATGGGAAAATTTTTAAATCTGAGACCTCAGAAAGGCAGGTTAGGCAAAGCAACGGCATGTTTATATATTTGTGATTTATAACTTAAAAATCTATTCAATCATGCACTGATGTTGTGTAGCCTTTCTGTGCTTCAGGAGTGGGGATTGATGTGGGGGTTAATACTTAGCTAGATAGACTGACTGGGTGCAGTAATGGGAATGGAAGATATAAAGCTACTTTTTTCTGTAAAGTCTAAACATCACGATAGAGTATCACACATCTTCAGTGAAGGAATTTCATGCAGTTGTGCTACAAGACAAATGCTTGGAAGTTTGAAATGACAGACTGGCCTTTGCTTAATGTAATGTTCTCAAGGCAAACTCTGTAACTCTCAGTCATTAGTCACTTGTTCAAAATGAAGGAAATGTGAGGGAAATCAATTTTGGAAAAGCTGGGAAAGATAACAGAGAGGGATAGAATCTAGCTAAATGCATCAATTGATAGATTGACTAGCTTATTACTGATTTGATTATTGATGCCATAGATTTATGATCCTGATGTTTTGCTCTGTATCTGCCTTCATCCAGTTTCACCTGACCAATGCAGCCCAAATCCACCATCCGATTTAGTGAGTTGAACACAGTAACAGACAGCTGATAAGGGAAGACAAAGTAAGACAACATAAGGTTAAAAACAGAGAGGTCGAGTCAAAGATTAAAAAAAATAGTATTGCTGTGTAATATCTTTTATTCTGTGCTTAGTTTGGCTTTAAATATACTTGATTTGGAGTCAGTTATCTTGTGATTCATATAAAGAGCTATTCATTTAGACAAATGAGTTTGTAATCAGAAGCAGTTAAACAGAAATGACTTAAGTTGTAGGGAAGCTGTTCTGGCAACGTTTGCAAAATTGAATTACCAAACTATCTATTATCTTTGCTACTATCTTTGCAGGCAAGCCTAAAGTAAAAATGAGCTCAACATTTAATCAGTTATCTTGCATTGCTGAAAGCAATCCTGCTTCATTGTGGATCTGGAAGGAATGTTACAGAAAACGTATCAAGTAAATAAAAAATTACTTTGAATTTTTCCATTGATGTGAGTGGTTGATCTCCATTGATTAACTATGATATAGTTATGGATCATACAGCACTGACATAATTGTGTTTTTTTTAAAATAGTAAATAAAATGCCATGGGAACAAAAGCTTCAATTGACCTCACTGGGTCAGACAAATGGATTCTCAATTCCATGACAGATCTCTTCCTAGTGCACCTTTCAGAGCTCAAAATATTTTTCTCAATAAATTATACAGAAAAGTTTCCATCTTGTCCTAAACCTCGAACTGAGAACTTCAGAGAAAGTGAACCCATATAGATGTTCTTGCTAACAGAATAAGAGTCCCGGCTTATCATTATTATCCAAGAATGCTGTCATTTTATATTCTTCCTGCTGCAAATTAGGGTTACATCATGCCAGTTCCATTCCTGCAGTCTTCCCATGTCAGGCCATCTCATCAATTACGATTCTGGTAGTTACAGTTCCAGAAACTGTCAAGCAATTTACAGAGTCAGCATATTGCCCCCCAGCAAACTGGGTTCTCATTTTACCAACCTTGGAAGGATAGAAAGCTGAGTCAACCTTGAGCCAGTCAGAATCGAACTCCTGGCTATGGGCAGAGTTTGCCTGCAATGCTGCATTCTAACCACTGCACCACCACAGATAAGGTAAGGTAAGGTAAGGTAGGGTAGGGTAGGGTAGGGTAAGTGGAGATGAGAAGAGAAGAGAAGACCTGATAATGGATAATCAACAATGGACTGCAGAACATAAGAGGGCCTTCTTATTGTCCTCCCCCAGATAGATGGCATACCCTAGCAAAAATCTATAAAGGCAACATTAGTGAGGGCCAGAATATGCCCTAGGATTGGTTAACATATTACATCACTTCTAGCATAAATGGTAATCAGATGGAATCTGAGAATTCCCTTTCTGTGAACCAATACTCTAACATGCATTCCAAAGAGGATCTGACAAATATAAAGAAGTTGTAACTAAAAAAAGGTGCCAGCTTACACTGTTCCTTCATACCTAATGCTAAAGTATATGATTATATGAAGTTCTCGGGGTCATTTTGTTGGGGTGGGGGGAAGGGAATCAAAATGCCAAAAACATCAAGATGCCAGCCACAATCCAGTGATACATGCAAGAGGGGGTGTCAGGACTTTGCTCACAGTTGCCATCTTGATTTTTTCTATTTCCTTCAGCTGAACCCCCAGAAGTTCTCACTTTTTTTTTTTTAATTTGTAATGTTGAATTTTTAATAGTTTGCATGAGCATTAGAAAATGTGAATAGATTTTTCTTCCTTTCAGTTGTACTGAAATCACAGGTGGAATTTCAAATGGAAGACGTCAAGGAACAGTATTTGGATCCTGGATCTCAAGCAGCACTTTAGATACAACGAACATACAAACTGGACGTTTAGTTGAATGCTGTGCAAACAATTCAGTTGGCTATTCTTGTGAATCTTATTTTGTTGAATCAAAAGGTAGTGTATAATTACACGGTTTAGACTACTGAGTATATGGTGAGATATTATGGAGATCATTGAATTTTAGAATTTAGAAGTAGTATGTTGAACAATTTTGGCCAAGTCTTAAAGATCAAATTTAAGAAATTCAACCCACCTGAAATTTCTTTTTGCTTCCAAACCTATACTGTAGAAACACCAAACTCCAATGGTTGGCTTTTGATTTTTGATTTTTCACTGTAAGCATTTTGTGATCTGCATTTGCAGTTAGTAAGACAGAACACCATTGCTATTTTATCAATGGGGATCTGAGATTGAAAAAAGTTCCAATGAATATACTTTAGCTGACATATTTGCTCACAGGAAACACACTAGTATGTCCTTCTCCAGAGGTGGGTAAATCACCAGAGATACAGATCAGTCTCATGTATGACCACTGTATGCTTACCTTCATTCTTTGCCCTTTTTATGAATTCTTAACTTTCCATTTGATGGGCAGATGTATGTTCTTCAAGACATGAAAGCTTGGTCTATAAAAATTAATTTAATGTATGTGTTATGTATATTTGCAAGTCTAATAAGGATCATGCAACACCTCAAAGATTTGCAAATCTTTTTCCTGGGAAGCTTTAGTACTGTACAGTCAATTTTGTCAGAAAGCATTCATTCATTCAAGGAGAGTAAATATTTACTTCCCTCTTTCATAATTCAACTGTTTTTCAAATTGCATGAATTTTTGCATTTGCTTTCCAGGTAATTTTTCGCTATATGCAACATTTGGAGTCTGCTTTCCAATTATCGCTGCGTTGTGCATATTAACTTACCGAAACTATAAAAAGGTAACAGCAGAATTGACACTCTTTATTCATTTCTGTCTCCTTTTGCGTGTTACTTTTGCCATTCACAATTTCCCATTCCCTCTAGCAATTTAGATATGAAAGACAACTGCATATGATACAAATGGTTGGTTCTTCCAACAATGAATACATCTCCATTAATTTCAGTGAGTTGGAGTATGATGTCCAGTGGGAGTTTCCTAGAGAAAACCTGAAATTTGGTGAGCTGTCCATGGTACTCTTCCCAAAGCTAATCATAAAATAAGCAAACATGAATGGCAAAATAAGGAAAATATATATATTTTTATAGGGCAAGAACTGGGCTCTGGTGCCTTTGGGAAAGTCATGAATGCTACTGCATATGGAATTAGTGAAGCTGGAGCATCCATCCAAGTTGCGGTCAAAATGCTTAAAGGTAGCTACAAGTTTAAGGAGAATGTGATCTCTGTATCAACCCGATTTTCTCCCATCACTAAAGTAGTAAGCTTGGACTCTGTACACTTGTGCGCCTGGTTGCTTGTGCTTGACAGATCCCTTTCTAAACAGTTATTATTGGTGGTCTCAAGATCAACTAATGAAGACCAACATCTTTCTCTTCTGTCAAGGTATCATGCCATGTATCTCTTAAGTGTGAATTCTTGGAGACAATAGAGCCTTCTGACGTGGAATCCATGCTGTAGCATTTATTGTACATCCTAAAAGATGGGTTAGGTGATTAGCTTTCTGATATTTGTGTGCTATCAATTTTTTCTAAAGAGTGGTGCAGTGGCCTAGAGGTGATGCTCTCAGCTCGCAATCAGGAAGCTGTGAGTTCGATCCTAGGTAGAGGCAGATATTTCTCTCTCTGGACATAATGAGAATATATCTGCTGAACAAAACTCTGCATTGATGAAGGGCATTAGGAAGGGCATCCGGCCAGTAAATACTCTGCTAGCTCCATTCAGTTGCCCAGACTCTACCCCACAAGGGATTATGGGGTCATTAAAAGAAGAAGATCAATTCTTTCTAAGGTTTGAAAGCAGTAAGGAACAGATTAGAGTAGTTATCTCTGTGCCACAGATGGAACTATAATCTAGCCAATGACATTTTATTACATTATCATGTGTTAACCTAATTCAACGTGTCATGTGAACTAACTAAAACATGGTTTGGTTGTTGGATAAATGCGATGCAAACATACAGCCAGGGGTGGGATTCTACCAGTTCGCACCTATTCGCTAGAACCAGTTGTTGACATTCTAAGCAGTTTGGATAACCGGTTGTTAGAAGAAATTACTGGCCTAATCCTGTAAGGAAGGCAGGAAGGAAACATTCTGGTGTTGCTTACAGAAACTGCCTCTCTGTTAATCCTTATTATATTCTTGGCAAGACTAGACTTCCTGTCTCTGGGATGTCTCTGGAGTTTTTTTCCCCTCCTTTGCTGGTACTTTGCTTGTGTGGAGTGACCATTTAAAATCACAATGGCACTGAAAAAAGTGACATGACCACTTACGTCTGTTGCAGTATCCCCACAGTCATGAGAGGCCAGGCGAGAAGATGCGTGCCTCGATGTGAGTGATATTGAGTTGGCCACACCCAGCCAACTCATGACCACCAAGCTATAACCACCCAGCCATGACCACCAAGCTATAACCACCCAGCACATGACCACCAAGCCATGCCCACCACCTAAGCCATGCCCACAGAACCAGTTGTTAAAAATTTTGAATCCCACCCCTACAGCCAATATGAAATTTATGTTGAAGTAGATAACTTCTAACTCACTAGACTTATTGATTACATGCCATAAAGCTAGTGCTAACTTTTAGCAACTACATAGATTTTCTCCATGAAAGTCACTAAACTAATGTGAATCAATATATTTCTGGTCCATGTCGGTAGCCAGATATGTTGACCTAATATTCTATCATTCTTTTTACTCTATGACTTTGCTATGCGCTATTCAATATCCTTTTATTAGATGCTTTTTTTAAAAAAAGCTTCCATCTCAGTGAACATTGTCTCTTTACATCATTTTTCTAAAAGTCCTTTTTCCTTAAAAAGCTAGTTTTAATATTATTAAAATTATATTAAAGGAATTAAAATTGTATAAGAATTCTAATTATAGAGTTCTTTTTGGTTTAAACAATTTCATATACCGTATTTATCGGCGTATAACACGCACTTTTTCCCCCCTGAAAATAGGGGGCAAATGATGTATGCGTGTTATACGCCGATATAATGTTAAGAAGCCTTCGGTGAATGCTGCTGGGATCGGGGATCAAGGACACAAATGAAAGAAGGGGAGGGAGGAAGCAACCGAAGCCTGTCCTTCTCTCTGGGTCAGCTCTGTCAGTCGCTCTCTCGCTCCTCCACCAGCACAGGAAGAAACTGCTTCAAAGAAGCGGGGGGGGGGGGCTTTTCCTGTCGCCGCGCCCGTTTCTCCCCCACCCCGTCCGCCCGCCCGCCCGCCCGCAGTGCTCCGTTCTGCCTGCCTGCCTGCCTTCGTTAATGGTTGAATCGGAACAGCTTCGGCTGAGTAAAAGAGGCGAATAGTTATTATTCTCAGCCGAAGCTGCTCCCAAACAACCAGAAACTAAGGCAGGCAGGCAGGCAGGCAGAATGGGACACTGTGGATTGAAGCGCGCGCGGGGGGTGGGAGTGGGGGTGAAACGGGCGCTTTCCTGAAATTTCCCTCTTAAAATGAAGATGCGTGTTATACGCCTGTGCGTGTTATACGCCGATAAATACGGTAATTATATTCTTTTGATATCCTTTGCAAATGGATACCTTTCTATGTGCAATTCTTGCACAAAAGAGCAAGGGAAAAAAATCCACTAAAGAGAATGATACAAACTGGTTCCATGCCACAAAGATGTACCTAAAGTAATGTATATGATGGGAGAATTAGACTATTTTAACATAAAAATACATTTGTATTACATTTGTGATATATCCTGGTATTTTGCTAGAAATGTGTTGTCATCAAATCTTAGTGCAGTGAACTTATACAACAGTTACAGCAGTCAACAACTAACTTGAACTGCTGGGTCCATGAGTGACTAGAAACATCCCTTTCCACATCTGTAGCATGTTTTGTCTTTTAAAATAATAGAGAGAGTGGGAGAGAGAGAGAGAGAGAGAGAGAGAGAGATGGAGGGAGAGAGAAGGAGAGAGAATAAAAAGAAAAAATGAAGAATGCTTGACTATTTCTGGGTCATTTTTCCCATTTTATTTTAGGATGAGTTTCTCTTTTCTTCTTTCCTTAGAAGGTATTTCCTAATCACTGCAGGTGTGGGTAGGTACATAGCAGAGTCTTTCTTATTCTTCTTTATGTTCCTTTTACTTTTGAGTTGTAATGGACTATCCTATGGTATCACAGAACGAGGAAACAAGGCACTGCTGTAAGAGCTACAGCCATCTTTTACTTGTTCTCTCTCATTTCCTGCTTCAAGTGAAATATTTGATTAAATTAGACATTCTGTTAATAAAATTATTTCTAATGTGTTATATATTTTATTGTAAAAATTCTGTATGGTTACTATCTGCCATGTTACCTTTACAGAAAAATATGACTCTTTGGAAAAGGATGCTCTAATGTCTGAACTCAAAATGATGATTCATATTGGAAGTCATGAAAACATTGTGAACCTGCTAGGAGCATGCACCAAGTCAAGTGAGCCACATATTTCTGAAATGTACTAACACGTAGAGTATTAAGTCATATATTTGGGGCCCTTGGCATGACATTGGTGGGCATCTGTGTGTTCATAACCGCCTACTTTAGCATGCTTTTATTTCCAAGAATGATTTTAGATATCACAAACACTATAGAATTTTTAGAAAATAAAATGCCCAGTACATTGCTTGTTAGTATGCCTAACTCACCAGCAAAATAAAATGCAAATTTAAACTAGAGTAGCAGAAAATATATTGGGTAGTTAGAAGAAATGACAAGAAACAACACCAGTAGGACTTCTGTTAAATGTGAGCAGTATTAATTGTGTTAGCCACTTGGGACTAGGGAAATCCTCCAGAGGTGGTATTCAGCAGGTTCTGACCAGTTCTGGAGAACCGGTAGCAGAAAATTTCAGTAGTTTGGAGAACTGGCAAATACCACTTCTGACTGGCCCCACCCCATCTATTGTCTACCTCCCGAGTCCCAGCTGATTGGCTGGGTATTTTTTTGTTGCCCTGCACAGGGGAAAGGAGCTGGAAAGTAGGTTAGTGGGGTGGGGAGGGAATGGGATTTTGTAGTAACCTTCCCCTGCCACTCCCACCAGGCCATGCCACGCCCACCAAGCCACACCATGCCTGCCAAGCCACGCCCACAGAACCAGTAGTAAAAAAAAATTAATCCCACCACTGAAATCCTCCCATTATAGTCACTTGAGAGAACATCATTGCATTTAAAGGTTACTGGCTCTGTAAACTGCTTAGAGAGAGCTGTAAAGCACTATGAAGTGGTATATAAGTCTAAGTACTATTGCTATGACCCATCAGCTTGAAAAGTTTTGAGACCCCAGCCACAATCCAGTGATATATATATATCAGATAGCATATTAAATGACAGATTAATAAACAACCTCTCTGAAATATCCGGCAGAGCTGTATCTTCAGGATTTAGATGCTTTAAGCAGTCTCAAGGAAGATCCCTTATCCTTATATGAAATAAGCTGGACGTAGAAACAGAGAATTTTCTTAAGCTGGAACAGAACTTCTCAAATATTACTTCAAAGTGAAAAGAGTTGCCACAAGTAAGAATACAGCTCCTAGAATTCCCAGCTAGCATGCCTTACAATGGGAATTTAAAGACTTGTAGTATCATGGAATAAGTATAAGACACAGGGATTTCATTTTCATATGATTGAGATGAAAATTTCTAACAACTTTCATTTCCTTTTTCCTACAACCAAGAAATGTCTATTTTTTAATGTGATGCATGCTAAGTATATATTAAGTAAAAGATGCTTCCTTATATATTAAATATGTATTTTTAGGACCAGTTTACTTAATTTTTGAATATTGTTGCTATGGGGACCTCCTGAACTACTTACGAAGCAAAAGAGACACCTTTCACAAAACATGGACTGAAGTCTTCAGTCAGCACAATTTTAGTTTTTATCACAATTTTCGAGGACCGATCATTTCAAGGTAAAGATCAACCATGGTTTAATTGTGGCAAACAAAAGGGAGAAATAATTATCTACATTATGCACAGAGGAAGAAACTGGGCAAGTTTAAAGACAAATTGTCATTTTTGCATCATGTGCTCAATCAATCATGGTAACACCATTTCATATTTCAAGTAATTCCTATTTTAGAAGTTTTAACAAAACAATACGAAAAATAGAAAAATTCTGATAGAAACAAATATTTAGAGCTCAGGGTTGAACTGTGACATCATTGGTAACTCTCTAAGCTTTCTTGTTTTCTTGCAGACATTTCGTTACCAAACTGAATAATGATCAGAGCTAGAAGGGAGTGGAGTTTACTTTCATTTCGTATACTAGTGGTTTTCTTTGTCCGTTTTGATCTGGGTGTTCTTGGTGGTTCCTTGATTAGGCTGTTGTTTACTGTTAGCTTGTTTGTCTGAGTTGGTAGTTCCTTGACTGGGGTATTGTTTACTTCTTGATTGTTGATATAGTGTTAATCTTGATGTGCTCATCTGAATGTTGATGTTGCTGATGAGTAGGTGTTCTGGTCTTTTTGTTTCCTTTTTGGCTTCTTGTTTGTCTCTTTTGAATGATATGCAGATATTATTTATCTCTATGGTCCAATTTATCTGACTGCCAGGCTTCCAGAAATTTCTCACATTTTTGAACTTGTTTTGGTCTCAGAGGCTCACAGTTTCCCAGATGAAATGACAGTTCAGTTTGTCCATATGTTGTGAGATTAGGGAGTTTTCATCATGTCTTCTGACTACTAGTGGATTTTCATGGATATGTTCTGCTAGTTTTTTATACGGCATCACCATAACACACAAACCAACTAAAGCCCTCCAAAGTACACCAAAATACCCAACTACCCTAGAAGGGAAAACAGGAGTCATCTACAACATAGAGTTAAGGACTGTAACACTATAACAACTACTATGCAGGACAAACAGGCAAAAGACTAGTAGAGCTGGCAGGGCAAGCCATTAGTATATAAAATGAGAAAAAAACTGTACTCCCTTCTAGCAATGACAATGTTACCTAGTTTGAAATCTCTGCAAGAAAATAATCAAGCTCAGAGAGCACCAAGGACTCCATAGAAAAATTCATTATGCATTACACAAAAATTAGTGGTGACAATGAATCTTACTTCCAAACCCACATAACCCTACAAGATCAGAAGAAATAATACAACAGATGGTTTTTTTTTAATGAATCACAATCAATTTATTCTTAATAATTTTTTTGAAGCTGCGATAGTTGACAGGTCTTTGATCATAAGCTGCAGGAAGAATGTGGCCAGACAGGTGCCAGTATAATTCAGATAGACGACAAAGAAAACTATAAGCACTGGCAAACTAAATATGATATTAACTCATGGAAAATATTGAGAAAATCTCCCTCAGTAACACTTTACTTCAGGGGTGTCAAATGCAAGGCCCAAGGGCCAGATCCGGCCTATGGGGTGCTTACATCTGGCCCATGGGGCTGCCCTGGAAACAGTGAAGGGCTGGCCCGTGGTGCCTCTGCCAGTGAAAATGGAGCTCGTGAGGGCCAAATACAGCCCTCCCGAGCTCCGTTTTTGCTGGCAGAGCACTTGGACCTCCACAAGTGCCCCTGACATGAGTGACGACAAGCTGGCCACACCCACCCTGGCCTTGCCCACCTGGCCCCCTAAGGTCAAATCCAACCCTGATGGGGCCCTCAGTGAAATAGAGTTTGACCCTCTGCTTTACTCAAACTAAACTAAATTTTAGGTATGATGTTTTGTATGAGGTGCATGGCTGGTCCATTGACTACTCAGTATAAGAGAAGTCTGGGAACGTTCTGTGAGCTTCTCAGTCGTGCAATTTGGTCTGAGCCATGCCTCTGTTTAGAAGTCTAGATGTCCTTTTACAGACCCTGCCATTATTTTCCTGTAGTTCATAGGGCCAACTTATTTAAGGCGACATAGTCTAATACAGCATCAAAAGTGCATTTTGATAGAGAAGTCCCAATGAAGCCACATGAGACTGGTTGGTTTCATTCTGTGGTACGTTGTCTGATCAGAAATTGTCACAGATCCTCATTTAAAAGACTTGATCACTTAAAATGAATGCAGTAATAGTGAGTTCCACGTTATAGGAGGTAACGTTTTGATTAAGCATGGTTACAGCTCCAAATTTGTTTACAAAAACAATCCATTATTATCAAAGTTTCAGTACAAATTTATTACATTTATTATTTCATAATCAAGCTGTGTTTGTCCTTATTGTTATAATAGATGCTTTAACAAATTCTTTTTTTAAAAAAAAGTGTACCCCTTGTCTTCAGAAATAGAATCGTACTGACAAATGGATCTTACCTACCAGTTGGTCAAATGGATCACTCACACGCAAAACAAGACTTAGATGTGATCTCTAACACATATGGAAATGCCCGGATTTCGGAGGAAGGTAAGAGGTTATAACAATATAAGGTGCCCTTCCTCTAAATAGACTTAGCAATAGAATCAATAAAAGCTGGCATGGACTATCTCCTTTCATTAGCCTTAAAACAAAAAGACTGCATTAGTTTCAAGTACCTAAAGAGATATCACACTGACAAAAACTGAAGATGATTTAATCAAGCAGAAACGCACAGCCACAGCCACTTAATTTTTATTTCTACACTGAGCAGGGGCCTAGATATGGTCTAAAACAGGGGTGTCAAACTCAATTTCATTGAGGGCCGCATCAGGGCTGTGGTTGATCTCGGGGGGCCAGGCCAGCGTAACCGACTGGGTGGGTGTGGCCAACTTGATGCCACTCACTGGGTGTGGCCAACTGGGTGGGCGTGGCTGACTGGGTGGGCGTGGCTGACTAGGTGGTTAAGGTCAGCTTGATGCCACTCCCAAAACTGCTGGCATATTTTCTCTTCACATTGGGTAGACCGGACCAAAGTGACGTGGGACATTTTCCAGGATGGCCCCATTGGCCACATCCGACCACATCACTGGCCAAATCTGGCCCGTGGGCCTTGTGTTTGACACCCCTGATCTAAGAAGAAACTTCCAACAGAATCAATTCTGTAATCCTGATTTATAGCTCAGTAGAGAATAAGGACCATAGGCACCTGCTTTCCTCTTTCTTAAGTTCATGGACATCCCATGATTTTCTCTTACATTTTTGTTCTCTCTTAAAGAAATTAAAAGAGAAAGTATGGTATTGGTATGGCTAATTTTAATCTTAACAGAAATAGAGAACGGAGTGGCGTTTATCCGAAATAGGAAGTTCACAAACCTCATGCAAGTCCTGAATGCTGTTTCTCTACTTTTCTCAACCCTCCAGGTGCTATAATGCAACAATAAACTATCAGGCAAGCTCCTGCCCTTCCTCCCTAAAAGAATAATACATTTGTTCCTGTGAAGATTAAATCCCAACTCATAAAAAAAGGGAGGGCGAGCAAGCTAAAAATCCGAGCTCCCATCTCACCAGTGAAATACCATGTCGTTGCCTTGTGAGTCTTAGTCCTCCATAAGATGGCGTCTGCTGCCCAAACACAGCCTGCTTCTGAACAGCATCAGATACTATTCTACTTACATTCTATGCTTTGTGTTTCAGTCTCTCGCTAGTATATGCGATTACCTATTTAATTTGCAATGGTGGTTGCTAGTGTATAGGAAGGAATGTGATATATTGGAAGGGAAGGGTTCTGGAGGCCACATAATAAAATTAAAAATATAGTTGTCCATCTTTGTACTTGAGAAATCAGCCAATCACCATTTTTCATTTGCAGATGAAATGAAATATGTGAACAAGAGACTAGATGTTGAAGAAAGCCTCAATATATTGACTTTTGAAGACCTTCTCTACTTCTCATATCAAGTTGCCAGAGGAATGGAGTTTCTAGAATCAAAATCAGTAAGATTGCTCTGAAAAATAGTGCTAATAATAAAGATTAGAAAAAAATATGCTCTATTATCTAAATTTCTTTTATCACTAGTTAGACATTATAGCTCAATCCGGTTAAATACTAGAATTATTAGTGTTAGAATTTTTCTAGGAAAGAAAAATCTCCCTTATGCCATTGTTGTTTGGAGTTAGGTTTTTATGTGGTACTCTCTGAGCTTGGTTGTTTGCTTGCAGACATCTTATTAGCCAACTATGTAACAACATCAGTGTGCAATTTGATTTTCAAATTTTTAAAAATGTTTTCATAGTGCTATCTGATAGGCATTATATTAGGAATTAAAACTAGGCAAAGAAGTTATGTGGGGAGAGAGAGGTTTTCCAGTAGGGAAAAAGTGTTCTTGTTAATCTGAACTGGGAATAGGCTTGTAATGTGATTAAAACTGTGCTTAAGGTCAAATTTAATTTATGATGTTTCACTTCTGTATGCTTTCTGGGCATGTTATATTCATTGTCTATTTTATGCCACTGTTTCTCAACATCAACAACTTAAAAATGTGTGGATTAATTGATTAATTTAAGATATCCTAACATCTTAAAGTTGTTGAAGTTGAAAAATGCTGCTTTATAGTGCTTAAATTGATAAATAAATGCATAACCCCTACTTCCAAGCAATAGGCATTCTGTGTTTATGTATTTAAAGGACAATAACTGTTTGCTCTGAACATCAGTCTTGGTCCTTTCCTTGCTTAGTGGAAGGAAGAATCAGGTTGGTTTCTTGCAGACCTACAGTTCATATTGAAGCATAATTCCAGGATATTGTTAACAGCCCTTTCTTACATCTTAAGAAGCATTTTTAAAATTCCTGAAAGAAATGCCTATATTCACACCATTGTAGATTTTGTCTGTAATGTTTTGTTTTAACCTTTTGATCTCTGTGTTACTATATTTGTAAAGTTCTCACTTTAAAGTAAATTGCTCTTTATTTTATTTTACTTATGTAAAAATAATCTGTTAGGCAATTAGTTCTGGCACTTCATATAAAAAAACTTACTACACTTTATTTAATGGCTTCCAGCACACTGTATTATTTCAGTGGAAAAAGACATTTTAAAAAAAGGCAATCAGAGAATTAAATTCTGTCCTTTGTGCAACACTTTTCTCTATTGACAGTGTGTCCACAGAGATCTTGCAGCCAGGAATATACTAGTCACCTATGGGAAAGTGGCCAAAATATGTGACTTTGGACTTGCCAGGGATATAATGAATGATTCAAACTATGTTGTCAGAGGAAATGTAAGTTATGTTTATTGTAGATGCTTCCCAATGTTTTCTGTGAACAATCTGAAAATAAAAATGAAATTATTATTAATATCCTGCATAGCCAAATCCAGGTTCGGAAGGGTGATAATATGGCAAGTTTCTTTTCCAATTTGAGTTGGTTTGCTGAATAAAAATGTGGTGTTTGTGCTTTCAAGTCGATTTTTGCTGCCTAGGCAAGTCCCTGCAGTTTTCTTGGCAAGGTTTCAAAAATAATTTGCCCTTCCCTTCTTTCCAGAGCTGAGAGAGAGTGACTGGCCCAAGGTCACCCAGCCAGCTTTCATGCCTAAGGCAGGACTGGAACTCATAGTTTCCTGATTTATAGCGTGGTGCTTTAGTCACCAAACACTTATAATCACTGTTGTAGAGCGGCGGAATAACCTGAGGCAAACACGGAGCGAACTTCAGCTCTTACTTTATTGTAACAATAAAGGGTTGCCGCGGCTGCCGCGCTAACAAGGCAGCCAGCTGGCGGACAACAGCTGATGCCGTTTGACAGCTCCCTTTTATAGCCGGCTGTCAAACGGCATCAGCCAATAGGAACGGTCCATGTTCCCGCTGGAAACACGGACCGGAGTGAAGACTTCAGCTCAGTCTTTTCCGAACGCCACAATCACCACACAGTTTCAGCTAATAATTGCAGTTCTATATCTCCATATTTTTACTATTTACTATTGGTGAGTGCCTGAACCACTCCCTGCAAGACGTTTCTCTTCTCATCCAAAAAACCTCTTCGGCGGTCTTTGTACTTATGGTGGGACTAGAACTCATGATCTTCTGTTTTCTAGCCTGATGCCTTAACCACTAGACCATAATTTGTCCATAATTTGTTCATAATTTCCAAGATCCTGTATCCCACAAAGATCAACCAGATATGAGTGGAAGTAGGATTTATATTCTCTAAGTTTGTTGTCGACCACCATATAGTATTTTCTGCACGTGTCATTTCATTCCCTGGAACTTGCATAAAAATTGGAGATTTCTAATATGGAAAGCACTTCCACATCAGAAATTGTTAGTCTGTATGTCTACTACCATACCAGCTTTACACATATGCACAAATTTATTTTACTACAGATATGCACAGCAAGAAGGCAAAATCGTTGGGTGTGGTTTTTTTTTTTAAAAAATGGAAGATTATTAAGTTTAAAACCGCCTTGGTTTTGCTAAGGTTCTTTCAGAGAGAAGGAAATACTGGTTGAACTTCTGTTCAACATTGCATGATTGATGGTGAAAGAGGTTGGGGAGTTGCCACTTAGAAACCTCTGAGATCTACAGATTCTCCATCCCTGAGAAATCAGCCAAAAGTTGGTACTCAACTTTTTCAATAGTTCCATGTAGGGAATGAGAGATGATTTTGGAAGAGAAGGCAATTCAACTGCACATATATTAAAGAGTCTTGTGGCACTTTAAAGACTACTGTATTTATTATAAAGTTTTCATGGATCACAGGCCACTGGCATATAGCCCTGAGGGAGATTATTTGTGCCCATAGCTCTTTTGGGGAGTGGAAGAAATTAGTTGAACAAAACAAGGGAGATACTTGGTTTCAATCAAAGCCAGTGGTGTATTAACCATTAAGCAGACTAAGCATGTGCTTAGGGCACCAGGCCTAAAGGGGGCACCACAAAAACTTTTATGTAGCCTAAACTTGCCTTCATTTGTACAGTATGTACAAAGGAGGAGGGCACCAAGATTTGTCAGTGCTTAGGGCACCAGTGAGCCTTAATCCGCCACTGATCAAAGCTTAAAAGCTAGAGTGTTAGAAAGTATCTCTTGGAGGCAAATAGAGTTGGATCACTTCTGCAAGGCGCCATTTCACAGGTTAAGGTTAATTGATTATAAAATCCTAATTCAAAATCTGAAATCCCAACCTCCAAAAGCAGTCCAATGGGAATGTTAGAGTGCCCATGTAACCAAGAGGGTTTGGGTTTTTTTTTTACCATCTGATGGGATGCCAACAAGGGGGTTGATTGTTCCTCAAGGGTAAGCCGTTCAGTAACAATGTGATTTCGCAGTTGGTTGCCCTATATGAGAAGACTTTGTGGGGAAATGACCTCTCTCTTCTCTGTGCTTTCTTTTGTCAGGCTCGTTTACCTGTCAAATGGATGTCCCCTGAAAGTTTATTTGAAGGGATATACACAATTAAAAGTGATGTCTGGTCTTATGGAATCTTACTCTGGGAAATATTCTCTCTTGGTAAGTTCTGGAATATGTTATCTGGCTCTCCTGTCAGAGATTTAACAGAACTACGTTTCATTCAGAGATCTAAACAACCTGGAACAATGTCTTTAGAATGTTGTTTCTTGCTGGTAGGGTTCCAAAGTGGAGAATGGGTGGCAGATACATTTTAATTCTGTAAATTGCCCTATTAGTATAGAAGGAGTGTGTGCATATGAGTGTCATGCCCCTGTTGGAATTTGACTTGGAGGGGGAAGCCAAACAGCTGAAAGGGAGTGGGAGTGTGGCTCTGTTGGCTGTGGAAGAAACTGGGGAAGGGCAAAGTCTGGCTGGGCAGAACAGGGGAGAGGTAGAGCAAGGCAGAGGGAATTCAGAGGAAGACCCAGGCCCACCCCCTCTTCATCCTAGGACACGCAGGGAGGAATGGAGAAGGGAGCAATGTGAGTTGCGTGGCTTATGGGGGAGGAAAGGGCCCTGATTCCCTTCATTAGCTGCAGCTGGGAACACAGTGTATAAAGGAGGAACCTGCGCACAGCAAGTTGTTGGGAGCAAACGTGAATTTATCTACTATCGTTGTGGCTTATCTGTGTTCCTGGTGTCTTCCCAACTGTGTGAGTTTTGCCGTGCTTTCAAGTCTGAAATTATTTATCCTGCCCTGTCAAGTTAATTACTTCAGTTTGCTTTGTTTGGATTTTTAGTTACAGTTTGTATGTACCTTGTTTTGGACTGAATTTCCTCCAGTTAAAGGCTATTCCTGAGAGAGTTTTTGTCCAGCCAAAAGTAACCTGGACATTGGGGGCAAAGTTGGAGATAATAAAGGGACTCTTCTTGCTTATTTGACTGTGTTGCCTTTGTGTCACGCCTCGGGTCATCACAGTGAGTTTTTAACTTCAAGTTGTGGGTTCTTCTGGAATACTTTAATAGAGACCCCATTTTAAGAATAAAAAATGAATAATCCCTTTTCATCCTTTATTCAATTGCCATAAATGTTCTCCAGACGCTCTTGGCAACCATGTCTTTGTTAACTACATTGGGGTTTTCCATTTCCTTTTCTTGTAATATATAATTGAATAGTCATCTTTCTAAATATCTAAGCAGCTTATGTATACCCAGTGTGGGTCTGTCTTGCTGTCCAGGTTGCAGAATATTTGCAGGAAATGGTCAAAAAGGTCAAAATGGCATGAAACAGAGGTAAAAGAAACAGGCGAAGCTTCAGTTGGACTGCTGTAGTTACCATTTTGCAGGGGTGGGCTTCAAAAATTTTAGCAATGGGTTCTCTGCCCAGTTGCTGGGTGGGCGTGGCCATGGTGGGTGTGGCCTAGTCAGCCTCCTGCATTATGGTGGGAGGGCAAAAATGCCCAGAGGCTTTTCTCCAGAGGCTTTCCTCATCCCTCCGGGAGGGCAAAAACAGGCTCCCTGGGCTCCGTAGGCCCATTTCTGGCCTGGAAGCCAGAAACAGGCCCATTTCTGGCCTTCCTGAACTTGCAGGAGGCCCATTTTTCACCCTACCCCAACCTCCGTGCATGCCCTGCACTTGCCTACATCCAAAACAGGCCACATGGGGACTCCTGGGAGGGGTAGGCAGGGCCAGCCACGAGTGGGATTTGGGTGGTTCTCTGAACTGTACAGAATTTTAGCTAGCGGCTCTCCCAAACCCCTGCGAACCCTCAGCAGCAGCCCACCCATGCCATTTTGACTTTTCTGACCACATCGTGCAGACATCTCTACAAAGTTATGGAAATTAAGAAAGCTTCTCCAATGAAGCTTAGTTCAAACATTCATTCTTTGCTTTGCCACTTTTTTTTCCTCTTTAGGTGTCAATCCTTATCCTGGAATGCAAGTTAATGAGAAATTCTACAAGCTTATTCAAAATGGATTTAAGATGGACCGTCCATTTTATGCTACAGAAGACATGTATGTTCTGGGTATAAAGGTTAGGGTGGGACTGCCCAGAGTATGATGCAGAGGTCTCCAAACTTGGCAACTTTAAGACTTGTGGGTTTCAACTCCCAGAATTGTCCAGCCAGCAGTCCACAAGTCTTAAAATCCACAAGTCTTAAAGTTGCCAAGTTTGGAGACCCCTGGTATAATGTAAGAAGACATGTAGAGTAGCACCTGCTCATTTCCTTGCTTCTAACTATACTGTTATCTGTTATTTGTGACTTTCTTGGACTACTTTTAGACGCAGAATAGAATAGAATAGAATAGAATAGAATAGAATAGAATAGAATAGAA